TTATATATTATATTATATTATATATATATATTATAATATATATATATATATATTATATTATATTATATATATATTATATTATATTATATATATATTATATTATATTATATATATATTATATTATATATATATATATTGTATATGTAGCTCCTCGGATGAGGAGCGAAACATCTTCTGTTACAAATAAAGTCTAGTTGTTTTTGTATTGAACATTTTTGAATTTATCATATCCTGTATGATTGAGAATCTTCACCAGCCTATATATATATATATATATATATCTGTATTTTTTGTGGGCTTGGCTTATATTCGGTGCGCTCAATAGTCTGGAAATTACGGTATTCAGGGTTAAAGGTATTTCTTTGATTTATGTTCTATGAAAATCTTAAAAAAAAAACAAAATGCTTTGAAATATGTTGTTTTTTTAATAATAGTTATGTCATATTTGTATTAATGTAGTTTTCCTGCCTGCACTAATGCAGTGTTACTTGTATTTTACTATTGTGTTTAGAGCAATGTTATGAGATGATTGTGCTTAGAAAGCTGATTTGTTTGTTTTATTTTTTAACTTTTATAAATCTTGTTTTTATTCATTAGAATTTTTTTAGTTCAGAACTCAAACAAACAAAAAAAGTAATGAATGCAATTGGTTTTTAATTAGTATTGTTCTTGCACCATTACAACCATTACATCAACTCCCATTAAATGTAAAGAGACACCAAAATACTGCAGGAGTAGAAAATGTTCAGTCTACCGGTATATTCACGTGCGCTGCTTTAAACCACTTTACGTCAAACAGTTTTTACCAGTGTTTTGGTTTTGCGTGCGTTTGGGGTGTGGATACTGTTGGTCCAGTCCTCTCACTCTGTGTTAGTTTAGTCTTGACAGTGTGAGTCCATGAAGCTCTCGGAGAACCGGCTGTATAAATATTTGCACATCAGTAAATATTCCTTCAGTTGTGAATTTGATCATGCAAACACCAACACGACAGCCTGTTTCTCTTTAAGCCGCTGTCACATGAACACGTACATGTGTTGAGAAGAGATACTCGTGTTCGTACACAACTGGCTTCTGTTTTACTTAAACTTGTATTAATTATGTAAGTATTGTCCTTGTAGGTTTAGATTTTTTTCAATTCATATTAAATCCTATGAACTTACAGAGCCAGAGAAAACTGTTGCTTATTATGTTTTTTTTTTTTTTTTTGGTGATAATTAACATTAAAACATTAAATGTGTAGGTGATCACTCGTTTTCAAAGTGTTCCAGCAGGCTTATGTTTGGTCCTTATTGCAGTAAAGGTCTACAGTATATTTATAGAGTTCAGAAATGTTCAAGTTGAAGGGGGAAACAAAGTAGCTCTTCATCCTGCCTCTGCTGCACCGCCATGTTTGACTTTAGAATTGATGCTTTTGTCATTCCATGTAAAGTCGTGCTCCCTCTGCCTTTCAAATCAACAAATACTTGTGATTATGAGTGATGCCACCAAAAAGCAGAGCTGACTTTTTGAATATTTTTTGGAGAGCTGGGACTTGTCTTCGTTCAGTGTTGGAAAATGTTTTCCTTGTGTTGTGGGGAGCCTGATGTTTGAAAGGCAATTTTGCTCAGGAGCTCTGCGTTTTCTCACCATGGCCGGTGGTATATTTAGATGTTGATTATGGATAATCAGCTGTAATGACGGAAGTGCATGGCATGTGTGTTTAGACTCAATGCCATCATCATGGAACACAGACCAAACAGAGCTGTCGTATCGACTTCAGATTTAAACGGGCATTTCCACGAATAGTCGAGCTTTTATTCGCGCTCACGGTCACACGCATGGAAAGGGAAAACAAATTTTAACCCTCAGTAGATATGGAAAACATCTGGACATTTTCTCTGTCGACTAGTTTTCAGTGTGGATCAAGGGGGGAAAAAAACACATTCTGTTGTCATATTTGCAGTTAGAAGGTCAGGTTAAAGGTTAAAGGTCCCAAATGGCTGCTTGTATCCTCTCATCAGGAGTGCTGTGGTCATGGCCCCTATCGCAGCCATAAAAGCTGCAACATCACTGACCAGGGCAGCCAAAAATCCAATATTCTATCACCGACCTGTCCCCGTTTCCTTTTTGTCACTGGGAGATGTTCCTCTGATCAGGGTCGTTGCTTTTTTAAAATTCAACTACAGTCGTTCTTTAGCCCGTAATGACACCATCAGTCTTGCCATCACCTTTGTCTGCGGCAACAAAATGCCACTGGCCTTTATTTATTTTTTTAATACTACTGGTTTTTTTTTTTTACTTTAGATGCGATTTTTAACTGAAATACTAAAATGAAAATTTATGTAATTGATATTTCCCCCTATCTCCACAGCTTGTGACCTTTTTTTTTTTTTTTTTTACTGCCTCATTTCCTGTGGCGTTTGAAATTCAGCTCCCACAATCTGTGTTTGGTGTAGAATATGCATATGGCAACGGGTAGGCCTGTCGCAATAAACAATAAATCAATTGATCGCATGATAAATGAAAATTATCAACCTTATTTTCATTTATCGGCTTTATCGTTTTTTGCGTCTCTTTCTACTGAAGATACTGGATGACAAAAGGCTCAACTCCGGTGCTCTTCACTGACCCCTCCCTTTCTCTTTAAAATCTGGTTTAACCGTCCAAAATTGCATTTTTGGATCATTAAAAGCAGCTAAGCTGAGAAGCTAAGCTACGAGCTAAGCCAACAGGCCGTCTTGTTGAAGCTCCAAAATTCATGGTTGAAACCTGTGCCTTTGTGTAAAAAGTTGTTTTTCTTGCAAAAAGAAGCTGAAAACTTGTTTACTGATTTAAAAAAATTTTTTTTTTATTAAAAGCTTTGTATGAGAAATGCTATGCTAAAGAGCTCAAACCACACCGAGCATCCGCCATTTTGAGAATCGAAGAGAGACGGCCCATGTCATGTCAAGGGGCCTCCTTCCTATTTTTCTTAGACACGCTGCTCGCTCCCTCCCTCACTATCCATCCTTTGGTTCAGTCTTATACTGCCATCCAGTGGTTGAAAAAAGGTACTACACGCAAAACAAATTAAACGTTTCTTCTTAAATTTGACAGTAATTAACAATTATTGTCTAATTTCAAACAATATTATCGTTTATCGCAATAATTTCTGAGACGATTAATCGCCCAGTAAAATTTGTTATCGTGACAGGCCTAGCTACGGGCTTTACACTCATGGTTAATGTCCCTTAACTACACACCGTGATTCAGCTAAAGTCCCAAGGCTGTTCTCACCCACTTTGTCCAAAGCAGGCTTCAGCCACAAAGCCAGAGCGCTGCACTGCGTCCCCCGTCTCTCCCAAAGCCCGGACTTATTAAAAAAATTCTCTCTGCTCTCTTTATAATGTATTGTAAACCCGATCAATGCCAATATGGCCTCGCAGGACAAAAAGCAGTTATGAAGTGTAATGTTTTCTATGGGACGTGCAGTTGACTACAGGGTGATGGTGCGCAGACATTTTTAGAAGAACGGTCGCAGCGGCTTTGGGTGCGTGATTGGTTTTGATGGGTATGTGCTCGTTGTGCTGAAGAGGGAAAAAGCTATACGGTTTCTAAATGTGTCACACATGGACAGCTATGTTTGGATGAGCATTAGAAAGTCTTGTAAACGGATCTTTCCTTCCTCCTTGTAGCGCTGATATCCTGCTCCCTCTGGGATCTCGAGGTTTACTGAAAAGCAAGTCTCTACATAAACACACGGTTTCCTCTATCAGCTCAAGGAATTATGACAGCTCAGTAGGAGAAAAGTCTTGTATATTTGCCTTTCACTGTGCTTTGGCTCATGTTTTGCTCCTAAACAAAGTTCTATAACCCTTTATTAAAAAATAAAATGAATATATCAAGTTTTTAATAAGATTTTCAAAACAAACCTACCATCTTTAAGCTGTGATTAATTTAAAGGAGCTCTTTAGTAGTTTAGGTCTTCAAGAAGTTTTTTTTTTTCTTGACATATTTCTAAATTTCCCTTGAGAGGAAGAGGTGGGGGGAAGCTCTTTGATGTTCAGACAAATCCCATGACCATGTTGCTTTATTATTCTTTTGACGCTTGTATTGAACGTGTTGAAATATTGAACGCGAGAGAGACGATGACCGCTGAGTTTCCCTGATTTCCGAGTTGAGGATGTGAAGTCGCACTCAGCTTTGTTTAGACTGACACCTTGAACCATAACGTTAGTCAGAGAGGAGGACATTTGTGTTTTTACTTGTGATAAATGCATTCTTGACACACACCTTTCATTTCTGCTAAATGGTTTTTGTAGTCTTTTCTAACTGAAACAGCTGATGCTTTATTTTGTTTATAGATGTATTTATTTTTAATCTATGAATTCCTCATCCGATATTTAAATAAAGCTTTTTGAGATTTATGTTAAAGATAAAGTGTGCAAGGTATTAAGAAAACACACAACTGCTATATTAATGCTAAATGTTACAATGACAGTATCAGTTTGGATAAACCTATAATGTTGTTATTTGTAACTGGTGGGGCTTTTTGGTTTGAAGGTTTTCTGTTATAGTGGAGCTCCTGTGCAGTGTCAGAGTTCAGCTCTGGTGCCCTGGAGATGAAGATGACTCAAGTATTTTCAGAAACAATTGGGCGCACACATTTTTTAAACATGTTCAAAACATAAATAACAAGACGGACTCTCTGTGACAGGGATGCACAATATTAGATTTTTTACCAATATCCAATATGCCAATATGTTAAAACTTATTTGGCCGGTAACCAATACCAATACCGATATTTTTCCCTTAAAACTATTTACAGAGACTATATAGCTTTCTCTGCTGTGGAATTGAACTACTACATTATTCTGCATGGTCTTTGTCAATATGGCCTGCTGCCAAATGCAGATGCCAAAAAGGGGCTGAAAATGATGTAACACTTCAACTTGGATTATGTTTAATGTCAAATTTATTCATGACATTTACTCTGTCCAACAGTTCTTGAGATGGTTACTTAGATTCGAAGTGTTTTAGGACTTTGTTTTCACTCCTCCTTGCGTCACTGACGCTGAGCAGTCATCGCAAATAGCAGGTCGGCGATAAGTTTCCAACACTTTAAAAAACGTCCACACCGCCAGTTTGTGCTTCCGTTTTATTGCAGTTCTTTGTGATATTTGTGTACAATGACAATGCAACGGCAATAATTTGTTCTTGTGCAGCTCTGTTTAAGAAGAGAAGTTTTTCTTTTCTTTCACAGTGAATTTACTCAGAATGGATCAATTGTTCTTTTTTTTTTTTTTTTTTACTCTGGTGCCACCTCTTGAATTAAGCACTTTTCCATGATGTAGTAGTTGGGATGCTTTGTTCCTTGTGGCTTTTTAAATGAGCCAAATTTCAAAAAATTTTTGGACTCCAATTTAAAGTATCACAAGTAATGCCAGGAGCTGAGATGGTGTAGAGATAGGGCAGCTGACTTAGGACCAGAAAGCCACAGATTCAACTCCCAGCCATTCCCACATGTTGTGGTGTCCTTGAGCAAGACACCCAATCCCTAACTGCATGTTCATAGCTGTATCTCATGTGTGATGAGTTAAATGCAGACAACTAATTTTGTCATTGTATAGAAATAGGAAATGATGACAACACGCAACACTTTGTTGTTGTTGTTGTTGTTGTTGTTGTTGTTGTTTTTGTTGTTGTTGTTGTTGTTTTTGTTGTTAACGGACTTGTCATGTTTGCATTGTTTTGCAGGAATGGCAGAACTCCATCCAGAAGAATGCAGGCCTGGCCTTCATTGAGTTGGTCAACGAGGGCAGGTAGGTCACCCTGACCAGCAGCACCTCATTTTCTCTCCAGTCTTTTCCCATTGGCCTTTTTCCAGTTTCTCAATGTTTGGCTCAGATCACATCATAGCTTATCCCCCGCCCACCATTTCCCAACCAGGCCTCTTAAGATCCCCAGGGTGCCTGTGATGGTGTGGCTATTTAAGATTCTGGACAACAATCGATGATTGGGGAGAGTAGAGAGGTTTGGGAGTGAGGATTGAAGACCTGTGAGTTCAAGGCTTCATTCAATACCTGCTCATTCCACAGGGATTTGGGAGGAGCGAGGTTAGGCAGAAGGTGACACGAGCTCTGATTGCTCGTTCCTCTGTGACACCGGAGGAAATCACTCTTGATTTCTCTCTGTCCATCTGTCAGTTTATACCTTTCTGACCGAGCCTTTTTATGTCTGCAATATTTTTTCTGTCTTTTTCCATTTTAGTCTCCCCCCATCTCATTTGAACAAGTGACCATCATTCTCTACACTTTTACTCTCCAGACTTTATGAATTCCTGAATTAACAAACACTAATCTTTATTGAGTTACACAGTTTATAATTGGCAGGTGCTAATCCCTTGTAGAGCTGATTGGATTAACAGTGTAGTCCTAAAGAGTTGAATGTTATTTCACCTTAAGTAATGATTTCTGCTGAAGGTTGCTTACCTTAAAATGCATATTTAGTAGGGATTAGTCAGTGGAGTGGTGGTGCAGAGGCTAGAGAAGATGGGCCTGTGACCGGAAAGTCGCTGGTTCGACTCCTCGGACCGACGGCATCAAAATATGGGTGGGAAAGGTGATCAAGTCAAGTCAAAGTTCTTTAATGTCATTCTCATCACATGTGCTACATGAGGTGGAACGAAATTGTGTACACAGGGTCCCAGTTACATCCAACAAAAGTATAAATTGTAAAGAAAAACAGTAATGAGGTCTAAGATATGAACTAAGAAATACACTAAGCAGACTGCTTTGAATTCATCTCCATCACAGAACTTTCATCTTGTGCAAGCATGAAGGCGACAGTGGAAAGGAAATCCTCCCTCATGAGGAAGAAACCTTTAGCAGAACCAGGCTCAGGTCAAGTGACTATCTGCTTCGACTGGCTGGGTTTGAGAGGAACAGGAAGGAGGAACAGATACACAATGGCAGGTCAAGAATCACATATTAAGTTAGAAATAGTATCAAATGAAAACTATTCAATTGTAACAATTAATTTTAAGAAATTAGGTCAGTTTGTCTTCTATTAGTCTAAGCCTATGGCATCATAACAAACCAACCTTAATTATAGGATTTATCAAGAAGGAAAGTCTTAAGTCCAGTTTTAAAACTGGACAATGTGTCAGCCTCATGGACAGAAACTGGAAGTTGGTTCCACAAGAGAGGAGCCTGAAAACTGAAATATCTTCCTCCTATTCTGTTTTTGGAAACTCTAGGGACTGCGAGTAAGCCTGCAGTCTGAGAGCAAAGTGCTCTGTTAGTCATTAACAAACAAAATTACAAAGAATTCATTATTCGTGCTAGAAGTTTTTTTCCCTGCAGAAACGCCAAATATTTCAATTTCAAGTTTTTGCTTTTTTAAACTGAGCTTGATAGGGTGGCACGGTGACATGGTTGGTAGAGCTGTTGCCTCTCCATGAGAAGGTTGCTGGATCGAATCCCGGCCAGAGACCTTTCTGAGTGGAGTTTAGATGTTCTCTCTGTACGTGAGTGGGTTTTCTCCAGGTACTCTGGTTTCCTCCCACAGACGAAAACATACATGTTAGGCTGACTGGTAACTCTAAATTGTCCCTAGGTGAGAGTGATAGAGTGAATGGTTGTCTTGTTCATCTCTTTATGTCCCTGTGATGGACTCGAGACATGTTCAGGGTAACCCGTCTCTTGCACCCTGACTGCTGGACATGGTGACCCCTGTGACCCAGAAAGGAAGAAGCAGGTGACGATAATGAATGAATGAATAGATTGATGATTTTATAATAGTCCATTAACAGAATAAACAGGTTTTTTTTTCCAACCTTACATTGAATTCCAAACTTTCATCCATATTTTTATTTGTATATGATGTTGGCATATTTCATGAATCAATTAACATATTTTAATTAAACTTAAACACAATAATTATTGGATGCACATTACAACCATGAACTTTCAAAATCAACATGATTTAAGATGGTTATCACAGCCATCTGACTGTAGAAAACCCAAAAGTGACAATCTGTGAATTTTACAGATTTAGAGTTAACGTTATGTAGCTGAGTCATCCCCAACATGTACATTAGGCACTACCAAATTACCCAAAATGTTGCGATATCTCATATAACCTTATTTTTAAGATTGACCTAAAACAGCTATACCTTTGTCATCATCAACATTTGATGATGATCTGGTGATTTAAAAATATATCCACCATTCTTGATTTTGTGTTGACTTCAGATGAAATAATAAAATCAAAGATAATTGAAGCTTCTTTACAAACTACAGGAGCCTGAAAGAGGCCATGACACAACAAAGTGGATCCCTATTTTTTTGTTTAACCAGTGAGCTAACTATAAACACATGTAATATTGATTTATGTTTAAATTATCCAACGCAACGCCAAAATGAAAGATTTTTCTTTTATATTTGTGACCAACAGTCTAGCAATAAATGTAATGTTTAAAAAATTGGAGATTCTGTGATTTAAAATATTGTAAAACACTAAGACAACATTATGGAGGAAATATGAGCTGATTTAAGTAACATTTCTGTGGACTACAAAACCTTTTTTTTTCCTGAACATGTATTTTATAAAACCGTACTTTTTTTTAAATGATACTGTTATGTCATTTGAGATACACCATGGTCTCTTTGATTCTTCCAGCTAATATCTGATACCTACATTTTTAGCATTTTTCAGTATTCCAGTAATGTTCTGTTTTTAAAAGTCAACATTAACATGATAATAGTCTACATCGACTAGTTAATGACATCATAGGAACTCAAGACACACACACAAAAATGACCAAAAAGTAATTTATTATTTACAAAAATGAAAAACAACAAAACATTGGGAGCATGTATTTATACTCCTACGATTTATCATACTGCAAATAAGTCACAGGAAAACCAAAACTATTATTAAGCTGTAAAAGTTAGTTTTACAGTAGTCCCTTGAGGTTCGCGATTCGTTTATCATGGACTCGCTGTATCGCGGTTCTTCAAAATAAGATTGGACATGAACACAATTGGCTGATTAATGGATGAGCCACATGATCGGCATGGGATTTTTATTTAAAATAATTTATTATTTTAAATTATTTAGCACATTCGTGCAGCCCAGAGCTGCAGAAGAAGCTTCCTCCTGCACCTTTGTGCAGCCCTTACAGCTGCAGGATAAACTTCCTGCTGCAGC